GAAACAAAAAAACCCCCCAAATACAAATCGATTTTAGAAACAAATTTTTCCGTTGTTACCCAGGCCTACTTTATAGGCTAAAGCCAGCACTTTGAATTGTGCTCGGTAGCAGACTGGCAGCCAGTAGAGCTAGTGTAACAGGGGAATTGTACGCTCCCTGTATGTCGCTCTGGTGAGAAACCTGACTGTCGCCTGTTGAACCAATTGAAGCTTCCGAACAGTCTTCAAGGGCAACCCCATGTAGAGCACATTGCAGTAATCTACTCTCGATATAACAAGAGCATGGACCACCGTGGCCAAATCAGACTTCCCCGTGTACGGGCACAACTGGCGCAGTTCTACTAAAATTGGCTGATCCAGATAGCCATTCTGCTTTTTGTTAATGTTTAGTGGAACTCGGTTGTTTGTTCATCTCCTGACCACCTGGCGTGGACCCAGATGATGCCACTCTTTAACCTACTTTGTATCTCAAATGCAAACCAAAGACAGTGAACATGTGGTGTATGGCTTGTCTAGTATCAATTCAATGTCACTAAGGTCTTTGCCATTTAAAAAATCGATTGTCTTCTTTTCTGCTTCCAAGAAAAAAAATGACCCCTCCAGCTGATTTAACATCAAAGAACTAGAGAGAACTATTGCTCTTTTCTTTGCTTGAAGAGCCAGCATCACCCTGAGATGTGGATTGCTGCTTCTTACCAAATATCCAGAGGTCCAAGGTACTGGTTTTTGGAGTTCGAAGCCATCTCTATGCAGATGACACTCAACTTTACTAGTCTTTTCAACCTGACTCCAAGGAAGCCCCCCCGGATCCTTGACTAGTGTCTGGCTGCTGAGATAGGCTGGATGAGGCCTAATAAACTGAAGCTCAATCCTGACAAAAAAGAGGTCAGTCCTGTGACTGATCGGAGTATAAGGTAGCAACCTGTGCTCAACAGAGTTACACTCCCCCTGAGGACACAGGTTCACAGTTTGGGGGTCCTTCTGGACTCAGCTTTGACACTTGATGTTCAGGTGTCAGCTGTGGCCAGGAGGGCCTTTGCTCAATTAAAACTTGTGTGCCGACTGCGCCCGTACCTCATGAAGTCTGACTTGGCTATGGTGGTCTATGCCCTAGTTACCTCCAGGTTGGATTACTGCAATGGTAGAGAGATTGGCAGCCACATTAATAACAGGAGCTGGTTACAGGGAGAGGTCAACCCCCCTGTTTAAACAGCTCCACTGGTTCCCAATAAGTTTCCGGTCTCAATTCAAGGGGCAGGTGATCACCTACAAAGTCCTAAATGGTTCAGGACCTGCCTATCTTCGAGAGCGCATCTTCCCCTATGAACTAGCACATACTTTAAGATCAACTGGGGAGGCTCTGCTCTCATTTCCACCGTTGTTTCAAGCATGGCTGGTGGGAACGAGAGAGGGGGCCTTCTCAGTGGTGGCCCCTTGACTCTGGAACTCACTACCCAAAGAGATCAGATTGGCCCCTATCCATTTTCCACAATGAGATAAAAAACGGGATGTTCTGCTGTGAATTTGATTAGGCAGTTCACCAGATAATTGGATCAATCTCACCATAACTCTTCACACTTTCGTTGGCTCTTCCATCTGTAATCCTGTTATTGTAAATGCCTTAAGGATGTTACCCGTCCAACTGTGACCTTAATTGAATTGAAGTGCATGTTGCACTTTCTCTGGGCTCTATCTTGGAATGATTGCTCATTCCCTGATCCCTCCGCACTTAGCACTTAATCTTTCAGCCATGATACTGTTTTTAAAAAAGTGTACTGTGATTGTAATGTTTTTCTGATGTTGTGGTTGACTTTATTTTGTCTTATTTTATTGTATATGTTTTTAATCTGTGTTTTTTGGGCTTATCCTCTTGTAAGCCACCAATAGTCCCCTCAGGACAGGCATGTAGCCGGGGGGGGGGGGGCTTGAGGGGCTTCACCCCCCCCCCGAAATTCTCATGGTGGTTCGCTAAAAGGCCTTACTGGTGCATTATTTAAACTGTTATGTTTATTCATATCATGATCTGATCACCATACTCAATATATCCCATATGCATAGGGGTATTGGGGTAATGATACAAAAGGTTTGCTAGGGTAGACCCTCTTTCACTCAGACTCAGCCCCCCCCCCGAAACTCAGCCCCCCCCCCCCGAATCAAAATCCTGGCTACAGGCCTGCCTCAGGGAGATGGTAGTGGGGTATAAAAATTAAGTTGTTATTATTATTATTATTATTATTATTATTATTATTATTATTATTATTATTTATTGGTGGTGGAGGTAGAGCTGGGAAACCTCATCCTGTGTCTCCTTTGCAGCTCCTTTGTTCTTCTGCAATGGAGATGTCATTTTTTATAGTTTGTTGAGTGGAAAACTTGACAAACGGAAATAATTCTTTGAATCAATTTGGCATGAAGAAGGGAGCCAGTGTGGTGTAGTGGTTGAAATATTCAACTCATGCAACCTGCTTAAGACAGGGTCTGATGCAGCCAGTCAAACCCATTATGGTGCCATATTGGTCTCCAGTTGGTCCAACCAGACCAAGTCTGTACTGGTCTACCTCACCCTCTGCATTTTTTTCTGCTCCTCCTAGCAAATCCCAGAGCTTCATGTGAGTGCCTGGCCATCTCCTGTCACTTCTGTGGTGTTGTAACAGGCACCCATATGACCAGCAAGAAGGAGTAGATTCGTTTCTCCCAGTCAGGGGAAAAGCACCAGTTATTTTTTCTTGGAGTTCAACTGCCTCCCTTCTGTTTTGGGTTGTGTTTTCAACATTATAACACGATCGCTCTATAATATTTCCTAAATCCCCTGGATCCCAACACCCAGGTGTCTTCCCTAAGTCAGGGGAAAGTCACCAAAGTTATTTTCTGCTTGAAGGGAGAGTGAAGCCTCTGAAGTTTCCCCGGTGTCAGTAATCTTTTCCGTTATTGCGCATTCACATCCTCTATTAATGCATTGATTCAGAAGTTTCCGAAAGTTCCGATTTTTTTTGGAAAAATTTGGAAGTGACTTTAGAATTGAATCATCAGCACCCCCTACTTTTGAACACAGTTTAGAACCATATTTTGATTGCCCATTCCTAGTGTGGAGTATCGGGATTGTCCCGTGCCCCGCTGATTCATTACGGAGGCTGACAAATCGATCCGGGGGACCTCATAAATGTGATGAGATCCCTTGTGTTTATATGCTTTAGATTTTACACTGTACCTTGTATTGTGTTTAGCATTGCTTTCTGCTTTGAGATCCTTTTCAGAGAGAGAAAAAAGCTGCATATAAATAAATATACAATCATACTTTGCCTTCAAAAAAACTTCCTACAAAAATATGAGAGGGGTTGTTGTAGGATTTTTCGGGCTATATGGCGATGGTCTAGAGGCATTCTCTCCTGACTTTTTGCCTGCATCTATGGCAAGCATCCTCTGAGGATGCTTGCCATAGATGCAGGTGAAACGTCAGGAGAGAATGCCTCTAGACCATCGCCATATAGCCCAAAAAAACCTACAACAACCCAGTGATTCCGGCCATGAAAGCCTTCGACAATACAAAAATATGAGACTCTTAAATACCAGTCCATTTGCACTGTTAGCATGGCCCTCTTGTTTAAAACTGCCAAGGCTCTCAGAATTATATGACACATCCATGAGTCAGTTATGCAAAGAAGTGAAGGCCCCCAGGAAGGACAAAATGACAATGGAATGAGGAGGGAATTAGTTGGTGATACATCGTTTGGGCAAATGAGGCCCCCAGTTGCGTTATCCTATATCCACAGCTTGTAAGTCTTTCTTTCCTAATTCCTGAAGCTCCCTTTGGGTTCCTTGGACACATCAAAGCATGTCCATTTAGCATTATTATTCCTCATCATCATCAAAACTAGAGTTTATTTTATCAAATCTACAGGCTATGGGCCAGATGGCTAAGAAAGATCTGGCAAGTATTTAGGTACAAATAAATAGATTGCACCAGGCTCATATGACAAAATCAAGGGCAGTAGGACAGTTGTCTGTTTTTCTACTAAAATTGCTTCAACCTTGAATATCAGAAAAAGTCAATGAAGCACAAAGCTAAGTACAGATTAACCCAACTCTTCCACTACCCTTACATAGAACACCTCTGTGCAGCGTATGGAGCAACAAGGGATGGGAGAGCCAAGTATGAGCCCTCTTCATTCCTGAAGTGGCTGATGCTTTCCCTTAACCTTTCCATTACCCAACTAAGTTATTTCAGCTATGAAAACATAGATTTGAAGGGGCCTGAAGGGCCATTGAGTCTCCCTTCTCAATGCAGGATCTTCAGCTAGAGCAGTGGTTCTCAACCTGTGCATCCCCAGATATGTGTCAAATTTAGTGAAATGCATCATTTGTTCGGATAGCAGTCATTTCTGGAAGTGAAGATACTGCAATTCCCAACGCCCCTGGTCCATTGTCTCCCTAAACCAACCAGGATGTAAAGTATATCATGGAGAGTCTATGTGGCCAGTTTGCTCCAGGTCTGTCATTCTTGGAAGTTGCAGTAGTCTCTGGATGTGGATGAAGGTACTGCAAATCCCATTCTTCCCCAAACTGCACCAAGACGTAAAGTAGTTCTTGGGGGGGGGGGGGTATGAGTGGCAAATTTGGTCCAGGTCCGTCAATCATGGAGGTTTCAGTGGTCTCAGAAAGTGAGTGAAAGTACTGCAAATCCCATCATCTGTGGCAAGTGTTGTCCAGATCCATTGTTGGTTGGGTTCACAGTGCTCTCTGGATGTAGGTGGACTACAACTTTTACAAATCATGGTAAATTCTTCCCAAACCCCTTGCTCAGTTGGCGATCAATTCCTGTTTGCTGTGTGCCATTGTAATGGGTAGAATAGGGTTTAGGCAGTGGTCAGGGTCATGCAAATTTCACAGCAATGGACAGAGTAAAGAACCCTGGGATGTCCATTCTGGAGGGAAAAAAACAGAACATTTAGGATGAAATTGTCCCCGAATGAAAGCCTTCATTTGGGTGGTGGGCAATAAGGTGATGGGGAGGACATGGGCAGGGGTTGGGAGAGATGTTCATGGTTCCCACTATAACCTGAAATGTCAGTGGAGAGAGGGCTTTGGTGGCTCCTCCGCACTATGGGTTATAGCCAGTTTGGGAGGCGGGAGGCTGTCTGTGTAAGTAAACACCTCCGCCATTTTTATTAGATATTATTGCATTTCACAACTCTTTATAAAGCATTTGATGCAATTTGCACTTTTTCTTAGGTATTCTTTCTTGTTGACCTACTTTGAAGCCATAGTCTAATTCCAAAAGTTTGTAATAGATAACATACTACTAATACTACTACTAATAATAATACTTTATTCATAGGCTGCCTATCTCCCTGGAAGGACTCAGGGCGGCTTCCAAGCAAAAAGGCAAACATTCAATGCTTTGGGCAAACATTCAATGCCTTGGGCAAACATTCAGTGCCTTGGACAACCACTTAATCTGCAGAAAGTCATGAAGTCCACATGACAAATGTTCAAAACACTGATTAACCAAAATGCGATGGTTGTTTGACCTATGGAGCTATGTAACTCAGAGTCTGATATCAATCTGATATACGATGATATAAATAGAGCAATAGCAAAGTGGGGCAGATAAACACATTCTGCAAAGCAGGGAGAGAAGAGGAATCAACCCAAATTATGGAGCTGTCTGGTGCCATCAGCCTCTTCCTTGTCATCTATGCCTTTGTTCTTGTTATCCTAACAGTCATGCGGGACCTCTCACGGAGGAAGACGCTCCCCCCTGGTCCAACTCCTTTGCCTTTCCTTGGGAATATCATGCAGATCAAGTCAACAGAACTTTTAAAATCCCTTCTCAAGGTGAGTAATTGTCCCACGTAGCACAGCTCAGGCATCTTGGATGTGATGAAAACCTCACAGAATGACTGAGATTTATGGAGACGTTGAGATGTCTCTGTATTCTTCCTCTATGTGGCTTGATAGACTCATGTTTTTCATTCCCAGTTCTTACCAGTTAAGATAAAATCTGTTGAAGGAAGCCTTCAGGTAACATGTGTGCACATAACCGGGTCATGTACACGTGTGTTTACTTTCAGATGGGATGGAAAGAGCCCCATGAGCACATGAGCACATATCCCCATGAGCACAATCCAAACCTTTCCATACCAACCCTGAAGGATGATTGCTCTTGTCATTTACTATATGAGATTGTGAAGGGGTCATTTCAGGAAATGAAGTAGCAGCCAATCTTGATTGAGAGGGGTCAGGTAATCAAGTAGCAGCCAGTCTTGTCTGCAAGAGGAAGAAAAGTGAAGTGGTGCTCCTAGATGGAGAGTTCTTGTTTTAATTCTCCTTGCAGGTGAGGAGGCAACACTTCTTCATTGCCTGCTTTGTCTTCCTTAAACCTCTCTGGTCATGCCAAGAAGACACCCTATAATCTATCTATATCTGGATGTTGGTCTATATCTGTCTCGGTTTTTCTAGGAATGCATCTAGAAAATTCATCTAGAGTAGCAATATACCTTCTTCACTTGTAGGCAGGCTACAGCTACACTATCAAGGTGAGAGAAGAACAAATATGCTCTAGGACCTCGTCACATTAACTACTGGGTTCATCATGGATCATGGTGAATCTGGTGGGGCCTGGCGGGGGACATGAGGAACAAAGTGCCCCATACCCCATACCACGCGCCTTGCCACTTACCCCATCTCATGGTGGAAGCATCCGCTGCCCTGTGTCCTTTTGTTGTTCCTTATGCAACACAGGAAGTTTCCTATGTTGCCACCACTGCAGCCAACATTAATTTCATCCCTCCTCAGACACAGAGCCCCACCAAAAGTAGATCAACATCTTGGGATGGAAGCCGGTGGGCGATGTACCTGAAAAGGGGTGAAAGCAGCGTAGGAGAGGCAATTTTGCCCATCTGATGAGGCCCCAGGTTGAAGGAGGGTATACAAGAATACTAAGGAGGCATCTGCATCACTTTAACTGCTATGGCTCAATGCAATGGAATCTGGTGTATTGACTATTTACAAGATCTTTCACATTCTCTGCTAAAGAGTCCCGGTGCCTTACCAATTTAATTCTCCCAGAATGCCATAACATCCTAGAGCCCATAACATCCTAGAGCTCAGACAGGCTATTTTGCCGGTGGGCTACGTGCCTAAAAAGGTGTGAAAGCAGCATAGGACAGCCTATTTTGCCTGTCTGATGAGGCCCTATGTTGAAGGAGTGTATACAAGAATACTTAGGAGGCATCTGCACTACTTTAACTGTCATGGCCCAATGTAATGAAATCTGGGATATTGACTATTTAATGTTAGCCCATCAAGTTTCATAACATTTCACTTATCCACAGATTTTTGGGGAATTTTCAAATTTTTTATACACAACATTGCTTTTAAAAAAAATCTACAAGAGCTATCTCCTTAATTTTTCTATACAATGACCAAGATAACAGAGGATCATTCCTCCCAACTTTCAGAAATATCCTTACATCTATTGATTTTAGGGAATTTTGAGGCATCTGTGGGCAAGCAACACTTATGGGACCTTCTTCAGCTGCTGGCAACTGAGGGAGGCCCCACAACTTGCACCGGTAGGCTCATGCACAGGTGAGCCTTGACTCACCTGCACTCATGCACAACTGGAAGAACTAGGAGGCCTCTCTCAGTTTGTGGCAGCTCAGGGATCCCTCCCAGCCCTAGTGCCTCCAGAATGTCTGCCCCTCGGAGCTACAGAGGCAATACATACAGAAATTGCAAAAATGGGACCCCAAAAAGGAAGGTGTGACTCTTATGCAATGGCAACTATTATGTGATGAAATACAGTAGCTAGTCTTCTAGTTGTAACTCTTATGTGTTCCTAGTTCCTATGCTCTTCTTTCTTACCATTGTAGTCCCATTAAAAAGGGAAACATGTGTTACCAAAAACACTTTCTTCTGATTGTTGGCACCAAGAGATTTCCATTTGGAAGCATCCTGTAAATTCTTTGAAAATACCCCAAAGACCTGGGTCTCAGAATTTAAGTATAGCCCAAAGCGGTTAGCACTTAGAAAAGAGATGGTTAAGAAATGCCAGGCTACATTTTAGGAGAAGGTAATGACAAACCACATCTAAATATTTTCTGCCAAGGAAATATAATCTGCATTGTAAAATACTGGAATATCCAACTGTGGTTATTATTAAATCCTCCACCAGAGTGAGCTATAGACACTTTGTATTGTTATCTCAAGGCCCTTCCACACAGCCATATAGCCCAGAATATTGAGGCAAATAATCCCACAATAATTACTTAGAACTGGGTTATTGCAGTCCACACTGACATATATCTCAATTCAAAGCAGGAAATGTGGGATTTTATTCTGTTACGTGAAAGGGGCCTCACTTTTGCTAGGTTCCAGCTAGATCCTATTTCTGTGTGCCTCCAAGGGCCCTTCCGCACAGTCCTATATCCCAGAATATCAAGGCAGAAAATATCACAATATCTGCTTTGAACTGGATTATCTGAGAGTGGATCCAGACAGGCTTTTATCCCAGGAGAATCCACATTTTAAAAACACAGGCCTTCCTGGGGGCCTGTTCACACACACCCCAGAAAGCATGCACTTTCTGGGGTGTGTGTCCAAATACTCTCATGGGACTGGCCTGAGAGAATATCTGGAGGCCCTACCACCCTCCCCTGAAGCCCCCAACCCCCCTTGAAAAGTAAAGAAAACTTACCCAGCCTCCAGTACACTCTCAGAGCTGATCTCCCGGTGCGTAGGAATGATGTGCCAGGAGAGTGGGAGAGGGATTTCCCCCACACACACATTCTCTCCTGGCGCATCATTTCTACGCACCAGGAGAGGTGCTCCAAGAGGGTACTGGAGGCTGGGTAAGTTTTTTCTTTACTTTTCAAAGGGGTTTGGGGGCTTTGGGAAAGGGGGTGGGTATTCCCGCAGTTTTGCGGACTAATCTAGTCTGGAAAACTGTGGGAATGGTGTTTGGAGTGAAATCCAGACACTGGAAATAGTGGGTTTATACTGCACCTTCCGAGAAAGCATGGAAGAAATCTACTATCTAATTAATTTGCTACAAATCAGGGTTTTTGTAGAAAATTAATTTGGGACTGACTGGAACGTTGTCTGGACAGCCCATCCTTTATTGCGGGAGTTACCACAATAAAGGCACTGTCTGGACAAGCCTTGAGTCCACACACAGATAATGTGGGATTTCCTGCCTTGTTATTCTGGGATATAGGGCTGTGTGGAAAGGCCCCTGGTCATTTTTAAATTTATGGCAACGCTAAGGTGAATCTAGCACAAGGTTTTCTTGGAAAATTAGCTCAGAGGGAGTTTGACTTGCCTAAGATCACCCACTGGGTTTTCATGACGACATGGGCATTCAGACCCTTGTTTCTAGAGTCCCAGTCCACTGTTCAAACTATTATAGCTAAACCACTATACTCTATCACACTGGTTTCTTAAGAAAGAACAACTAAGCATCATCTTCTGAAAAAGCTGATGTATCAAAAAAATCAAAAGCTCCTGTGTTTAACTAAAAGATGATGATTATTCTTTTATTTCTTGCACAGCTGCATGAAAAATATGGCCCTGTGTTCACTGTCCATTTTGGACCTCGTCCTGTTGTGGTCTTATGTGGACACAAAGCTGTGAAGGAGGCCTTGGTAGACAAAGCAGATGAATTCAGCGGAAGGGTTACCAATGCTACTCTAGATGAAACCTTCCAAGGATATGGTGAGATAACCTAATTGGTTTTGCAACAATTGCTCCCACCTTTTCATCTTCTTTTTGTTCATCCTTCCATTTACTGCTTTCTCCAGGGGTGATCTTTTCCAATGGTGAACGCTGGAAACAATTGCGCCGGTTTTCTCTTACTATCATGAGGAATTTTGGAATGGGGAAAAAAACCATTGAAGAGCGGATTAAAGACGAATCCCAGTTTCTGCTGGAAGAATTTAGAAAAACAAATGGTGAGTATGGATATCTTGGGTTGCTCCAAATTTCTTCATTCTGATTGGCAAACAATATTTCAACATGCTAAGGAATTCCATTGAAACAAACTAACCTCCTTGAGATTTTGTCCTTCTGACGTTTGATGCATATTTGGAGAAAACACAAAATGTGTTTATAGTTTCTATTGGAACAGTTTTTTTAAAAATGCAAACAAAACATTAGCCAAAAAGTTATGCAATGTGAACAATGACAGGAAATGTGCAGGATCTCTTGCAATCTTAACCACTGGGAATAAAACATTCCTGCATACAGAAAGAATTAAATCGAGATTCAGCTTTTTAGGTTGAGTAGCGATGATTGACTATGACCTCTTTTAAGCCAAACTTAGGGTTTTATTTGTTTCCTGTGTCAATGCATCCTACAACTAGTAATAATTTCCTAGCTTCCTAAAATGCATCTATTCATAGACTTTTCAGTCATGGCAATGTGCAGCTTAATAGGTGACTGATGATAAAGTATATATGCCATTATCTTGGTTTGTTAGTTTATTGATTCTGTCCATAATGAATTTATTCCACCCATTTTGATTATGTTCCTTGTGGTGCCTATGGATAGTAAAGACCAACCACAAATGAGCACATTCTAGGTCACCCACTTCCAAGCTGGTGCCATCCCCTCAGATGCGATGATACTACGGCTCAAAGATTTGCTGTGTATTGGAAAGAAACCAGGTAGAGGGAGGCTGTCAAAAGCATCAAGTGGAGTGACACCTCACCCTTTCTCTCTGTCTTTAGGGAAGGCCTTCAACCCCACCTTCTTCCTCAGCCGTGCTGTCTCCAACGTTGTCAGCACCATCCTCTTTGGTAGCCGCTTTGACTATGAAGATAAACTTTTCCAGAACCTCATGCAGACATCGAACGATGTCTTCCGCTTAGTGAGCACTCCTTCTGGCCAGGTACCTTGCTCATTGAAAAAGAAAGGAGAAAGAAAGAAAATGAAGGGTGCTGTTGACACCTGGAAAAAGGATCGTAATGCTTGAGAAATGTTTTTCCATGTCCATATACATGGAAGCACATGCTTACAAAATAGAAAGCTCCTAATTTCCATCTGTTGTGCCACAACAGTTCCAGAGATTAATTCAAGTGATCTACAGTGTATATGTACCCTTTCTCTTTTGTCTCTCCTCAACTAGTGTCATTTGTTTTCCCATCTACTGTAACCAGTTTGACTAGGAGGGACATAAAATCCCAAATCTTCATACAGTTTACTACAACTACTCATATCTTTCTTTACACAGAGGTATGATGTCTATTACAGTTTCTTGAAGTATTTTCGAGGAACCCAGACCAAAGTCACTGACCTTCTAAAAGAGGTTAAAGGTGTCATCACAGAACTAGTGAAGATGAACCAGGAGACGCTTGATCTCAACAACCCGCGGAATTATATTGATTGTTTCCTCATCCAGATGGAAAAGGTACCTTGGTAGATATTGGAATGGGGGGTCTACAAGCCAAGGGGCAGAAAACATGAAGTCCTCCAGATGATTAAGACAAAGAATTCTCCTCTTAAATGTTGACCATGATGTCTCAGGCTTAGGAGAGTTGAGTATTCTCCATGTTAGTAATTAGTAACATGGAGAATGTTAGTAGTCCTGTTTTGGACTGGATTAGGGATGAGTAAAATGCAACAGAAAGCTACATTTAACAAATGAGTGCAATTTAGGAGCAACGTGGAAGCAAGCATCTCTGAAGCCCATACCACCCCTAAATATGTCTGAGGCTTTGAGGTCCTTCCTGTATTGTTCTCATGCTGTTCTGTTCATTTCTGCTTTCAGGAAAAAGACAATCCAGACAGCGAATTTACCATCAGAAACTTGGAGCTCAGCGTCCTTATTCTTCTTTTTGCTGGGACAGAGACAGTCAGCAGCACCCTGAGATATGCATTTCTGTTTCTGATGAAATATCCTGAAGTGCAAGGTATGAAGAAATTAGGCTGAAGACACTAATCCAGTGTCTTTACAGCTTTCCTTTTCGCTTCCCCTCCCTCCCTCCCTCCCTTCCTTCCTTCCTTCCTTCCTTCCTCTCTTCCTCCCTCCCTTCCACATTATATTTTGCAGTACAGTGCTCCATGAAAACAAACAAACAAACAAACAAACAAACAAACAAATTCAATTTATAGAATGTCCTCCACTTTCAGAGAAGTTAGAGGTGCAGGATCTTCATGAAAATGGAAAAACCGTGCATTAAAAAAGTGTTATTAATTTTTAACTTCAGAGAACATACATTGGAAATTTGTCATAGAATTGCATGGGATGATCTGCAAATGCCTAAAAAAGCATTTCCTCTAGGAATCATAGGTCATCCGGCATGACTCTATGAGCAGCTTCCGGCAGATTTCCGTTGGCAGATCAAAATATTTCTGTTCCATCAGCCTTGTTAGGATTGAAGTTTTAAAACTGTACAGTTTGTAAGGTTTTTTTTTTTTAGCATAACCAGAGTTTATTTTATCAAATCTTATATGTATGCTTTTATTCTAGCTTTTGTATTTATTTTAAAAGACATTGCTTTTTGGAGTCTCATAATCAGGAGAAAGGTGGAGGAAAAATGAACTAAATAAACAAATCTCCATAATTTTGACAGCAAAAATGCATGAGGAAATCGACCGAGTGATTGGCCGGGACCGTCCCCCAAACATTGGAGATCGGACCCAGTTGTCATATGTGGATGCTGTTGTCCATGAAGTGCAGAGGTTCAGTGACCTCATCCCCCTGGATCTGCCCCACATGGTTATGCGTGACACGGAATTCAGAGGCTACATGATTCCCAAGGTACAAATACCGGGCTACCAAGTCAAATGGGAGAGACCCAGCAAAGTGTATTTCTGTTTTTGACTTTGCCCTGATCACTAACCCATTGAATAAATGAGGGAGGCCTATAGTGAGATGCATGTTTGCTTTGGTGTCAGACTGCCCATATGTACTAATGGCATCTGAACTAACCCTTTGTCACTAAAGATACTGTTGTTTTCAGTTCACAATGCCTCTATGCTTTGGTGTCAGACTGCCCATATGTACTACTGACATCTAAACTAACATTGTTTCACTAAAGATACTGTTTTTTTTTTTCAGTTTGCAATGCCTCTATGCTTGAACATGCAACTAAGCAAAGCTTCTCCTCATTGCCCAATCTGCAAAGCCCATTCCCAAACAGCCATCCTGGATTCTGTTGTAGACATCCATGGAACACATGGAGAATTGTGACATCTAATGTGCTCCACTGGCATCTTACAGAGAGAGAAAACTCAGCTGTAGCTAGAAGTGATGAGGTACCAACCTACATCACCTCACCCACCAATGAGTAGATGTCAAGTGGAAATGCGTTAGTAGCGAATGATTGGTGTGAAAATGGCCTCCAAGGCTTCAGTTGAGTGGTGAGGATATGGTGCTTTATTCTAGAACTAAGATATTCACATTCTGTTCCCATCTCACTCCTAATAAAAAATGCTTTTTTGTCAAATCCATGGGCATTCATCTCAATCCCCATCTACGCTGCCATATATTGCAATTTGAAATTGCATTCATAGGCTATCACTCGTAGCTGAGTAAGACTGCCTTCCAAATGTAGGGTCTTGGTGGTGGGTCCGTAGATTACTGTAGAGACCTATTCTTGATCCGCATGTAATTTGCAGTGAAGTCATTAATTTTGAGATGGAAAGCTGTCCCAACAAGGGTTGGTTTGATGCACCTTCATCTTGACACGAATTAAACTGAATTAATTGAGTCTACACTGACCAGATAATGCAGTTTCAAATTGCATTTGTGTAGATGGCGCCTCAGATGGCAATTGGTCCTATATGGCTACTGGCCAAAATGACTTCGAACTAGAACTTTAGAAAAGAAACACATGGTCCAGTCTCAGAACTGGCAAACCATATTTTGAGAGCAAGCTACTAACTGGGGCTCCCTAAAGGGAGAGAACTACTCCCATATTACAGTAGCTTCACTGGCTGCCAGTCCACATCTGGGGTAAAAACAAAGTGCTAGTTATTACCTATGAAGCCCTAAACAGATCGGGTCCAGGCTGTTTGTCTAACCACGTCTCCCTATATAGACCACCTCATGCACTGTGGTCAGCGGAGGAGACCCTGCTCTCGGTCCCACCCCCATCACAAGTGTAGTTGGTGGGAACAAGAGAGGAGGCCTTCTCTGTGATCGCTCTCTGGCTCTGCAACTCCCTTCCTAAAGAAATACAAATGCCCCCCACCCTCCTCTCCTTCAGAAAACTTCTGAAAACACACCTATGTAGGAGGATTAGCACTTAGCACTTTATGGCTGCAATGGTCTATTTTCAAATCACAACTAAAGCCAGGCACTCTTTATATTTTAGTCATTTAATTGTCTAGGATATATGTTTCGTGTGCAATTATGTTTTATTGGTGTAATTATGCTTTCTTTAAGTATCTGTATTTTTATTACTTAACTTTATTTTTTCAGTAATAAGTTGATTAGTGTCTATTTTATATTTTTGATAATGTGTGATTTTAACCATGGCATTGAATGTTTGCTTTTTATATATATGTAAACCGCCCTGAGTCCCCTCAGGGAGAGAGGGAGGTTTATAAAGTATTATTATATATATTATAGTTAGTGCCACCCCACCCCAAACTTTATTGCTTTCACATCACCCTGCTTTCTTTTCTATTTTCCCCAGGGGACAGAAGTCTACCCACTCCTCAACACAGTCCTGCGTGATCCCACCATGTTTAAAACCCCATATGCATTTAACCCAGAGCATTTCCTGGATGAGAACGGGCGCTTCAAGAAGAGTGATGCTTTTGTGCCATTCTCTTCAGGTAATCTAGGGCAGTTCCACACATACATTAAACCCACTTCGAAGCGGGTTTAAGAAACTCGCTCAAAGGGGGTTTTAAATCCACACAGGCGAGGGAAAAATGCCCTTTCCCCTTTGGCTATCCAAATACTATCCTGAATACTTCCAGGATACTTACTTACTTAGGTGATCTCTCGTTGTCTGAGTAGGATTGTCTTCCAAGATCGGTGTAGTGGCGCTGAATCCGTAGGTGACCTGCATGTTCTCCCACAGTGAGGGCATTGGTTTCCAGGTGGAAGGTGGTCCTGGCCGGGTTGGCTTGATGTACCTTCCTCTTGGCATATTTCTCTCTTTTGCCCTCCATTCGTGCCTCTTCAAATTCTACAGCACTGCTAGTCACAGCTGACCTTCAGCTGGAACACTCAAGGGCCAGGGCTTCCCAGTTCTCAGTGTCTATGCCAGAGTTTTTAAGGCTGGCTTTGATCCCATCTTTAAATCTCTTTTCCTGCCCACCAACATTCCATTTTCCATTCTTGAGTTCAGAGTAGAGCAACTGCTTTTGGAGACGGTAGTCGGGCATCTGGACAACGTGGCCGGTCCAGCAGAGTTGATGGCGGAGGACCATCACTTCAATGCTGGTGGTCTTTGCTTCTCCCAGCACACTGACATTTGTCTGCCTGTCTTCCTAAGAGATTTGCAGGATTTTTTGGAGGCAATGCTGATGGAATCATTCTAGGAGTTGCATGTGACTTCCAGGATAGCATATGGCCATTCAACCCCACCCCACCCCAAAAAAAMCCCTTAAAAATAAAAAGGAAACTTAACCAGGAKCCATTTGGCTTCTCTTCCTACCTGTGGGAACATATGATGCCCAAAAACATAGGGGGAGTCAGGAGCGATTTGGACTCCCCCCCCCCCCAACTTAATTTTGGGTGTCATTGGTATGTTCCAGCAGAAAGAAGCAGAAGCCAAATTGCTACCAGTAACTTTCTTTTTTATTTTTTTTAGGGTTTTGTAGGGGGGGGGGATTGGGGAGGGAGTTGGAGCCCTCACAGTTTTCCAGGTTGAATCAGCCTGGAAAACATGGGGCTACTGTTTGGMTTGCCCCCTCAAAAGTCCAGAACTTTTGGGGGAGCAGTCCAGACAGTCGAAGTAATGGGTTTATCCCGCACCTTCCAAGAAGGCATGGAATAAATCCACTATCTAATTAATTCACTACAAACCAGGGCTTTCCTCGTTTATAGTGAATTAATTTGGGATTTTCCAGGACAGCTCCTTCTTTATTGCAGGAGTTACCAGAATAAAGAGGCTGTCTGGATGTGCCCCAAAGCAGTGATTCCCAAACTCTACTCCTCCAGGTGTTTTGGACTTCAGCTGAATGCTCCCATGGTTGTTAAGGTGTAATCATAGAGGTATAAATATGTGTAATGTGATAGAAGGAGACAGCTGACTAGAGAGATAGCTAAATCCTTCCCTGCTGAATTTTCTCCAATTGTTCTTCTAGGGAAGCGGGTCTGTCTGGGCGAAACCTTGGCCCGCATGGAGCTTTTCATCTTTTTGACCACCATCCTGCAGAAATTTGAGCTGAAGCCCCTCATGGCCCCCAAGGACATTGACCTGACTGCCCATGAGGTTGGATTTGGCAGAATCCCACCTTACTACCAACTCTGCATGGTCTCACGCTGACCTGAAGATCCCACCTATAGTATTCTTTGCACTTGCTTTATGTCTGACCTTTGCATGGGGAAGGCAAAGCTCTTTTTCTCTTTCCTGACTCTTATGTGGCAAATTTTAATGATGGCTACAAGATATAGTTTTCACCTGATTATGGCATCTTGAACTGGCATGCGGTTGTAATCCCAGGCATAGAGAAGAAACTTTTGATCTACTGCATCTTATTCTGTACCAGCATTTTGGTGCCTCTTGACTTTTTTCTCTCTTTCCATTTGTGTGTATATACAGTGGTACCTTGACTTAAGAGTTTAATTCGTTCTGTGACCGAGCTCTTAACTCCAAATGCTCTTATCTCAAAGTGAATTTTCTCACTGAAATGTTTTAAATTCATTCCAGGGGCCCGAAACCCACCCACCCCTCTGTTTCTTTGTTGTGTGTATTAAAATAAGAAAATGTACTTTATAAATAATAAATAATATATCAATGCACATTCACGTGGAACAATACAAAAAAGAAAGATCGACTTTAAAATGGCAGAAGCACAAAGTTGTGGTACATCATGTTAGATGAACAAAGTTGTGGCAAGGATTCACGAAACACAAAGTGATGAGGCAGAAGGCCCCGTTCTTCTCTTGCTCTCTCTTCTTCTCTCTCGTCATGAAACCAAGTGTACTAGGAATGAAAACCACACAAAATCAACTAACCCAAAGTTCCTCAAAGCGGACAAGAGCAAAGCAGACAGCAATGTCTCACAAGAAGGACAAAATGGCAATGGAATAAGGGGGGGGGATTAGTTGGTGACATATCATTTGGGCACATGAGGCCTCCAGTTGTGTTATTCTAGATCTGCAGCTTGTATGTCCTTGGGTTGTTGTAGGGTTTTGGTTTTGTTTTGTTTTTTGGGCTATATGGCCATGGTCTAGAGGCATTCTCTCCTGACGTTTCGCCTGCATCTATGGCAAGCATCCTCAGAGGTAGTGAGGTCTGTTGGAACTAGGAAAAAGGGTTTATATATCTGTGGAATGACCAGGGTGGGACAAAGGACTTTTGTCTGCTAACCACCTTGATTAGCATATAATGGCCTGACAGTGCCTAGAGCAAACTTTTGTTGAGAGGTGATTAGATGATTAGGACAATTTCAACAGAAAGGAGGAAACCATGAAAATGAACAAAATCTGGCTACCAGTATTAAAAAAAACTCTAAAATTACAACAGCAAAACAACAGAGAGGAAACAATCAAGGACATCTAATCACCTCTCAACAAAATCTAGGAACTGTCAGGCCATTATATGCTAATCAAGGTGGTCAGTTGAAACATTCACACCTAGCTCTAGCAGACAAGAGTCCTTTGTTCCACCCTGGTCATTCCACAGATATATAAACCCTTTTTCCTAATTCCAACAGACCTCGCTACTTCTGAGGATGCTTGCCATAGATGCAAGTGAAACGTCAGGAGAAAATGCCTCTAGACCATGGCTATATAGCCTGAAAAAACCTACAACAACCCAGTGATTCCGGCCATGAAAGCATTCGACAATACATTGTATGTCCTTGTTTCCTAATTCCTGAAACTCCCAGGAGACCTTTTGATTCCTTGTACACATCAAAGCTGCCGATATGCTGTATTTTAGCATAACCAGAGTTTATTTTATCAAATCTACAGGCTATGGGCCAGATGGCTAAAAAAGACGTGGCAATTATTTGGGTACAAATAAATAGATTGCACCAGGCTCATATGACGAAATCAAGGACAGTAGGACAGTAGCCTGTTTTTCTAATAGAATTGCTTCAAACTTCAATATCAGAACAAGTAATGAAGTGCAAAACTAGGTACACATTAACCCAATTCTTCTGCTACCTTTACATGGAACACCTCTGTGCAGCTTATAGAGCACTAAGAGCCAAGTGTGAGCCTCCTTCATTCCTGATGTGGCTTATGCTTTCCCCCCACTCTTTTCATTTCCCAATTAAATTATTTTAGCTATGAAATCATAGATTTGAAAGGGGCCTTATGGACCATTGAGGCTCTCTTCTCAATGTAGGATCTTCAGCTAGAGTGTCCCCATCCAGCCTATTTTCTGAAGACATCCACAGATGGAGCCCTTACCATCACTCTAAGCATGTGGTTCCATTGCTGCACCATTCCTACTGCCAAGGAGTTTCTTCTAACGTTCACTCAAAAACCACCTCCTTGTAACTTTAGAGCAGTGTTTCTCAACTTTCCTAATGGCGCGACCCCTTAATACAGTTCCCCATGTTGTGGTGACCCTTAACCACAAAATTATTTTTGTTGCTACTGTTGAATCGTCATGTAAATATCTGATATGCAGAATGAATTCTCATTCTGTGGACCAAATTTGGCAGAAATATTTGATACTCCCATATTTGAATATTGGTGGGGTTGGGGAGGGGGGAGATTGATTTTGTCATTTGGGAGTTGTAGTTGCTGAGATTTATAGTTTACCTAAAATCAAAGAACATTCTGAACTCCACAAATGATAGAATTGAACCAAACTTGGAACACAGAACTTACATGACCAAGAGAAAATACTGGAAGGGTTTGGTGCGTATTGACCTTGAGTTTTGGAATTGTAGTTCACCTACATTCAGATAGCACTGTGGACATAAACAATGATGGATCTGGACTAAACTTGGCCTGAATCCTCAATATGCCCAAATGTGAACACTGGTGGAAAAATAGACCTTGACACTTGGGTGTTGTAGTTGGTGGGATTTATAGTTCACCTACAATCAAAGAGCATTCTGTACCCCACTAACAATAGAATTGGGCCAAATTTTATTTAAACGTATTGCATTTCACAACTCTATAAAGCATTGAGTGCAATTTGCGCCTCTTCTTAGGTATTCTTTCTTGTTGACCTAGTTTGAAGCCAGGATATAATTCCAAAAGTTTATAATAGGTAAAAAACCCTTAAACAGCAGAAACAAAGTCGTATGTCCTCCACGAAAAATGTTCAAAACACTGATTAACCAGACATGAGATGTTTGTTTAACCTATGGAGTTGTGTCTGACACCCGATCCAATAAAAAGAGTTATAGCCAAGTGGGACAGGTCACCACATTCTGCAAAGCAGAGGGAGAAGAAGAATCAACACAAATTATGGAGCTGTCTGGTGCTATCAGCCTCTTCCTTGCCATCTATACCATTATTCTTCTTATCCTGAAAGTCATGCGGGACTACTCACAGAGGAAGACGCTCCCCCCTGGTCCAACTCCTTTGCCTTTCCTTGGGAATATCATGCAGATCAATTCAAAAGAACTTTTAAAATCTCTTCTCAAGGTGAGTAATTGTCCCACGTAGCACAGCTCAGGCATCTTGGATGTGATGAAAACCTCACATAATTGCTGAGATTTATGGAGACATTCAGGTGTCTCTGTATTCTTCCTCTATGTACCTTGATAGTCATATTCTTCCTTCCCAGTTCTCACCAGTTAAGATAAAATCTGTTGCAGGAAACCTTTAAGTAACATGTCTGCACATAACCGGGACATGTACGCATGTGTTTTCTTTTGGATAAAATGGAAATAGCCATTCAATATCCCCATGAACACAATCCAAACCTTTCTACCCCAACCCTGAAGGATGATTGTTCTTGTCATTGACTAGATGAGATTGAGAGAGGGTCACTTCAGGAAACGAAGTAGCAGCCAGTCTTGGCTGCATGTGGAAGAGAAGTGAAGTGGTGCTCCTAGATCAGTGATTCTCAACCTGTGGGTCCCCCAGAAATCTTAGCCAGTTTGCCAGCTGTTAGGATTTCTGGGAGCTGAAGGCCAAACATCTGGAAACCCACAGGATGAGAACCACTGTCCTAGATGGAGAGCTCTTGTTTTTCTTCTCCTTGCAGGCAAGGAGGCAACACTTCCTCGTTGCCTGTGTTGTCTCCCTGAAACCTCTCTGGTCATACCAAGAAGGCACCATGATAGACCCTATAAGCAGAATGCAAGATGTTGGTCTATATATATCTCAGAATTATTAGGAATTAATCTAGAAAATGCATCCAGAGTAGCAATATACCTTCTTTCCTTGTAGGTAGGCTACAATAACACTGCCAAGGAAAGAGAAGAACAAATATGCTCTAGGAGACCTCATTACATTAACTATTGGGTTTGGCAAATCTGGCGGGGCCCGGCGGGGACATGGGGAACCAAGTGCCCTATGCCCTGCATCACCCACCTTTCCACTTACCCCATTCCACGGGAGAAGTGTCTGCCACCTGGCTTCCTCCCATTGTGTCTTATGCAACACAAGAAGTTTCCCAAGTTGCCACCACTGCAGACAATGCTGATTTCAACCCTCTTCAGACATGAAACTCCAACATTAGATCAACATCTTGGTATGGAAGCCAGCAGACTACGTGTTTGAAGAGGGGTAAAAGCAGCATAGGATGGGCATTTTAGCCCATCTGATGAGGCTCTAGGTTGAAGGAGTGTATACAAGAATACTTAGGAGTGGGTTGTTGTAGGTTTTTTTGTGATATATGGCCATGTTCTAAAGGCATTTTCTCCTTTCGTCTGCATCTATGGCAAGCATCCTCAGAGGTAGTGAGGTCTGTTGGAACTAGGAAAAGGGGTTTATATATCTGTGGAATGACCAGGGTGGGACAAAGGACTCTTGTCTGCTGGAGCTATGTGTGAATGTTTCAACTGACCATCTTGATTAGCATATAATGGCCTGACAGTGCCTGGAGCAAACTTTTGTTGAGAGGTGATTAGATGTCCTTGTTTGTTTCCTCTCTGTTGTGCTGTTGTAATTTTAGAGTTTTACATAGGAGGCTTCTGCACCACTTTAACTGCCATTGCTCAATGCAGTGGAATCCAGGGTATTTACTATTTACAAGATCTTTAGCCTTCTCTGCTAAAGAGTCCTGCTGCCTTACCAAATTAATACTCCCAGGATGCCATAACATCCTAGAGCTCATGCAATTTGTAGGATTCAAATATTATCAAAGAACTCAATTGTCTCCCTAATGTACCCATCCACGCCTTCTATAGCTTGGAAGTATAATAGTTAAAGTGGAATTAAAATGCCTTAACTGAGTAGTGTGCAAGATACCAAATCCAAATTAAGATTCTGAGTCCTTTCAGTTGAGACTTTGTGAATACAATTTCTTCTCACATGGATAGAATACTGTATTTCATTGCATAATGCTGTAGGCATGTGCAATTGATTAAAAATGATTCAAAAGTCATAACAAAATGGTGTGTGCTGGTGCTTTGTTTGTAAAGTGAGTCTAAAGTATCGTTAGTAAAACTTTTGTTACTATAATAACAAGAGTACGACATTTTGTTACAGTCATTACGCAAGTGGAGGAAACTTCAGGGGCTCCTTTATCCCTTGTTTTTAGGACTATTGGGGTGAAACTTCCTACAGTGGTAGAACACATTTACCAATGTTAGCCCATCAAGTTTAAGAACATTTCACTTATCCACAGATTTTTGGAAAATTTTCAAAGTTTTTATAAACAACATTTAAAAAAAACTACAAGAGATATCTCCTTGAATTTTCTATACAATGACACAAGATAACAGGGGATCATTCCTCGCAACTTTTAGAAATATGCATACATTTCTTAGGGATTTTTTAAAGTTTTGATTAAAAATTTACTTTTTAAAAAGCAACAACTTGGGTTGTTGCAGGTTTTTCGGGCTATATGGCCATGTTCTAGAAGCATTCTCTCCTGACATTTCACCTGCATCTATGGCAAGCATCCTCAGAGGTTGTGAGAGAATGCTTCTAGAATATGGCCATATAGCCCGAAAAACCTACAACAACCCGTGATTCCAGCCCTGAAAGCCTTTGACAACAGCTATCTTATCGAATGTATCTCATATTAACTATTAGAATTTCCATTTAAGGATTTTTCCCAGCCTAGCACAGATATTTACTTACTAGAAATATCAGTCAGTCCTATTCTTTGCAGATTCAACAATTTATTGGAATTCTGGCTGGCAGTTGCTACAGAAGGACAAATCCCTCCCTTCTCCTGATTGGGGGTTTCTGATGCTGAGCAGAATTCTGGGAAATGTAGTTTAGGGCAGGGCCTTTTGAATTCTCTGGCATAAGGCTCCTCGCCTCCCAAAACTACATTTCCCAGAATCCAGACCCTTGTCTCTAGAGTCCCAGTCCAGTGTTCAAATTGTTATAGGAAAACCACTATGCTACATCACACAGGCTTCTTTACAACAACGACTAAGCACCATTTTGTGAAAAAGCTGATGTGCCAAACAAATCAAAAGCTCCTGAGTTTAACTAAAAGACAATGATTATTCTTTTATTTCTTGCAAAGCTGCATGAAAAATATGGCCCTGTGTTCACTGTCCATTTTGGACCTCGTCCTGTTGTGGTCTTATGTGGACACCAAGCTGTGAAGGAGGCCTTGGTAGACAAAGCAGAAGAATTCAGCGGAAGGGTTACCAATGCTACTGTGGACGACACCTTCCAAGGCTATGGTGAGATAACCCAGTTGGGTTTGCAATAACAACTGCCAGCTTTTCATCTCCTTTTTGTTCGTCCTTCCATTTATTATGTAAAAGATGAGTATCTTTTATTGTGTAATGTGTTGTTTTGTGTTAATAGATATTATTGTTGCATATGGCGATGTAATTTTACCTGTATTTTATGTGTTTTGTGGCATTATTATTGGTAGGTTACATACCTGTGACCATCTTTCTTCGAGTGGTGCTCTGCGAATTCACACTTGTGGAGAGACTGCGCCTGCGCGGGCTCCAACGGAAACTTCTACTTTTAAAACTTTTCAAGTTTTGGCGGTAACCCCGCCCAGCCCCGGCAGGGGATAAAAGGGCGCCCCGCGCACACCGATCCAATTCCTACGCCGCCACGGTAGCGAGAAATTGGAGGTTTGCTTAGAGGGGAGGCTGGGCGGGTTAGTGTGAATTCGCAGAGCACCACTCGAAGAAAGATGGTCACAGGTATGTAACCTACCATTTTTCTTCGTGGTCTCTGCGAATGCACACTTGTGGAGACTAGCAAGCTCAGGTCCCGGAGGCGGGAAGTAAGCAAACCGACCATAAAAATCAAGGGCCAAACAATTTTATTAAGTGCAAAAAACAGTCATAAACAAGAGAGTGTAATCACTTCCGAAGAAGGGTATAGTGCATAACAAGAGGTTGCAATCACTTCCAAAGAAGGGCACAGTGCATGAACTTACGGGAGTACGTGATCCTCCCGGCCACTCAAAGGTGACCAACAATCGAGTAAACTTATGACCCTTGAAAATAAAGCACATGGTGATTGTTGAAAACACTCATAATAATGAGGGCACATTCGATAGCAGTTTAGCAACAGTTACCGCAAGAATATAACACATTAGTTAGGCAAATACCTCGATAATGACACAGAATACCCGTAATGGGCCCATCAGGGCCATAGTGGAATGGCTGTTTGTGCCCCAGGCAGTAAGGTATTAAGAGTAAAGGTGCAACTTTATTCCCAGCAACGAGGAAAAACACAATTTTCAAGTAGTAAACATGTCAAACAACACATTCGAAATACACGGTATCGACCAAAAAACCCTGTTGGTACGCATCACATATTCCGTTCCAGAACCTAAAGCGGGTCTGAGCCCAGAACCGCCCTCCCAAAGGCCATGTCAGGTGTAAACCTAGTGTTCAACCTGTAATGAGTCACGAATGTTTGGGGATTTTTCCAAATGGCCGCCTTGCAAATAGCGTCCAGGGGAATCCCCTTTAGGAAGGCTGTCGAAGCCGCCATAGCCCTGGTCGACCGAGCCCGGACGACCGAGGGTGGTTGTTGACGAGCTAGTTGGTAGCAAAGCTCGATGGCCGAGGTAATCCAGTGGGACAAACGTTGCGCCGAGATCGGCAGGCCCATCTTGTCAGGAGCATATGCTACAAAAAGTCTGTGTGATCGCCTAGACTGGGCAGTCCTGTCCCTATAACACAGCAATGCTCTCCGCACATCGAGCATATGAAGTCTCTTTTCCCTCGGGGTCGAGGGGGATTGACACAAGGAGGGAAGAACAATGTCCTCATTGACATGGAAAGGGGACACGACCTTGGGGAGAAATGTCACATCTGTGCGGAGAACTACTCTGTCCTCGTGGACAACAAAATAGGGTTCGTCCACCCGCAAAGCCGCCAGCTCCGATGGCCGACGGGCTGAGGTGATGGCAACTAGGAAGGCCACCTTCCATGACAACAACCGCAGGTCAGCTGAAATCAAAGGCTCGAAAGGCGGATGCCCGAGCCTAGCCAGTACAAGGTCAAGGTCCCATCCCGGAGTCGGAGACCGAACCGGGGGATACAAATTGTTGAAACCTTTCAAAAAAGATTTCACAGAGTTGTCTCTGAACAGGGAAGCCTCCCCCGTCCGCTGGAGCTGCCACGATATGGCGGCCAAGTATGACTTGAGCGAAGACAGCGACAGCCCCCGCTCGGTAAGGTGCAGCAGAAAAGAAAGGATCGTCGGTATCGACGGTCGACGATCGTCCAGGCCTTTATCGGAGAGGAAGGCCTGGAAACGGTTAAGGCAGGCTGAGTAGCACTTCTTGGTAGCCGGCTTGTGCGCTGCCTCCAAGATCGGGAGGACTCCTGGGCACAGCGACCTCAGCACCGGATCCTCCACGCCGAAAGATGCAGAGAAGTGATGTCGGGGTGGAGGAGTTGACCGTCCTCTCGAGAGAGCAGGTCCTGTCGAAGTGGAAGACGTTTCATCCGCCCCTCGGACAGCTGGAGTAGGACCGGGAACCACGGCTGTCGTGGCCATTCTGGCGCTATCAAGATGCAATCCATTTGCGCCGACTGGAAGAATTTAGAAAGACAAATGGTGAGTACAGATAGCTTATTGATTGCTCCAAATTTCTTCATTCTGATTGGCAAACAATGTTTTAACAAAGGAAGTCCATTAAAACAAACTAATCCCCTTGAGATTTTGTCCTTCTGACTTTTTATCCATGTTTGGAGAAAATACAATAGGTTGTCAAAAGCTTTCATGACCAGAATCACTAGGTTGTTGTGAGCTTTCTGGACTGTATGGTTATGTTCCAGAAGCATTCTCTCCTGACATTTTGCTCACATCTATAGCAGGCATACTCAGAAGTTGAGGGGTCTGCTGAAAACTAGCTAAAGACCTTTATCTGTGGGATGTCTAGGGTGGGAGAAAGAACTCTTGTCTGTTTGAGCCAAGTGTGAATGTTGCAATTGGCTACCTTGATTAGCATTTAAGCTACATGGCCATACAGCCCGGAAGACTCACAGCAACCCAAAATGCATTGTGTTCATGGTTTCTCTTGGGACAGTTTTTCTTAATGCAAACAAAACATTAGCCAAAAAATTTTGTCATGTGAACAATGATAGGAAATGTTTAGAATCTCTTGCAATCTCAACCACTGGGAATAAAACATTCCTGCCTACAAGAAAGAATTGAATTGAGATTCAGCTCTTTGGGTTGAGTAGAGATGATTGAATATGACCTCTTTTAAGCCAAACTTGGGATTTTATTTGTTTCCCAAGTCAATGCATTCTACAACTAGTAATAATTTCCTAGCTTCCTAAAATCCATCTATTCATAGACTTTTCAGTCATGGCAATGTGCAGCTTAATATGTGACTGATGATACAGGCCATTATCTTGGGCTTGTTAAGTTATTGATTAATGAATTGATTCCACCCATTTTGGTTGTGTTCCTTGTGGTGTCTATTGATAGTAAAGAACAACCACAAACAAGATACAGTCTAGGTCACTCATTTCCAAGCTGGTGCCATCCCCATAGATGTGATAATACTACGGCTCAAAGACTTCCCAAATATTGGAAAGAAGACTCTCAAAAGCATCAAGTGGAGTGACTCTTTCTCTCTGTCTTTTAGGGAAGGCCTTCAACCCCACCTTCTACCTCAGCCGTGCTGTCTCCAATGTTGTCAGCACCATCCTCTTTGGTAGCCGCTTTGACTATGAAGATAAAGTTTTCCAGATGCTCACACAGACATCGAACGACATCTTCCGCTTGATGAGCACTCCCTCTGGCCAGGTACCTTGCTCGCTGAAAAAGAGAGAAGGAGAAAGAAGAGAATGAAGGATGCTGCCAGGGGCGGCTGAACCAATAGGCGAGTTACGCATTGGCGTATAGCACAAAATCCCCAAGGGGTGCTCACCCATGCGAAAATTACCTATGGCCGGCCCTGTGAAAAACAAATCATTCCCAATGTGTTGGTTTTCCTGCTTTCTCCCAGGAGGGGGAGAAAGAGGGCTGGAAGAGCAGGAGAGATGGGAAAGAATTGGATCTGCCTCTCTCTCTCTCTCTCTCTCTCTCTTTTGCACCCAAAGAAAGCAATGCAAGGAAAGTGGGGCTTTTCTCTGGGTAATCCCTGCCATTTCCTGTCACCTCCTAGGACAAGGTCAGGTGGCATCTCCTGCAGGTAAAGGCTCCCTTTGGCCCACCCAGGTTGACTCTGGGTTGTTTGCTTTGGGGGCCCAAAATGTGTTTGGTCATCAAGGTCACTTGTCGCCTTATTTCCCCCTTCTTCCTTCCTTTTCTGGCCAGGGAGAAAGAGAAGGAGAGGCAAAATTGGGCAGGAACAGCAGGAGCAACACAGAGGAAGAAAGAAGCACAGCCCAAAGGCAGGCCAGGCTCACTCTCGTTGTCTGCCCTTCTCTCTCCAGTTGGAGGACAAAGCCAGGTCCTGCCAAAAGTTCTTGGGAGGACTCCCATTCCCATTAGCTAGTGAAGGATTCTGGGACTGGCACACTAGAGAATGAATCCACTTTAAATTCTGTTTCTGCCTCCTGCAGAATTCTGGAGTTAGTAGTTTAGTGAGGTTGTTAAAGGCTCCTCCCTAAACTACAAACCCCAGAATTCTGCAGGAGGCAACAACCAGATTTAAAGTGGATTCATTATCTAGCATGAAACTTGAGAAGAAGATGTTGGAAAGAAAGAGGAAAAGTCTTGAACCAGATCCCAACCAACCTGACTCAGCCCCGTTCCATACAACTTAATAAAACTATCTGCTTTGAACTGTGTTATGTGGCAGTGTGGACTCAACCCAGTTCAAAGCTGTGTATTATCTGCCTTGATATTCTGGGTTATATGGCTGTGTGGAAGGGCCCTCAGTCCCCATCTATATACTACCACATAAAATCCAAATAATTTGCTTTGAGCTGGAATTTGTGACAATGTAGACACATATAATCCTGTTCAAAGCAGATAAATCTGGATTTTATATAGTAGTGTCGCTGAGGTCCCAGGTCTCCCAGGTCCATTCTACACTGCCCCATGATCCAGATTATTAAATCATATAACCAACATTATCTCATTTGAAACAAATTATGTGAGTCTACACTGCCATATAATCCAGTTCTAAGCAGACTATCAGTATTTGATATGGCATGTGGTAGAAGGGGACTCAATCCACACTGAACGTTATATGCACTTCAAAGAAAGGCAACAAAATTTCCACAAAAGCAAGTCCTTTGTGAGCATCAATGCTCTGCTATTTGTGTAAAACCCATCCCAGCTTCAAACTGGTTTTCCTATGTAATCATCTGCACACACAGCGAAACTGCTTTGAAACTACATGAAATGATCAGTGTGGCCGTTTTCCTCCCTGGCTCCAGACCAATGCCCGAAAGCGAAAGCCTTCAGAGACAGTAATATCTGCTGGTTTAGGTCCCAATGCACGTTCCCTGCTCCAAATTGGATGACAGTTCTACAATTCCAAATCTGGTGGGAAACAGTTATTTGTAGTATTTACAACTCCGAGAAGAGCCCAATCCCAAGCAGTGAGGATTAACTACATTAAATTGAGGGGTGGCTGACGCAATATGGAAGTTATGCATTTGTGTATAGCGCAAAATCCCTGAGAGGTGCTCTTGAGGCACCCCCGCTTACACCTGAAAATTACCTAGGGCCGGCCCTGGATGCTGCTGACAGATGTCAGCAGTAAACTTGGGCAGTCAGACACTAAAGCAAACATGCATCTCACTATAGTCCTCTCCCATTTATTTAGTGGATTAGGGATCAGGACACAGCATATTATTTGAGATCACAGTAATTCTGGACCACTCTAACAACTACCCTGTTAAACTACACAGATAAGCCATTGAAAACCCCAGGCATGTGGACAATTTCAACAGAAAGCAAGAAACTATAACAATGAACAAAATCTGGCTACCAATATTTAAAAAACTCCAAAATCATAACAGTAAATAAAGAACAACACTAAAAACCAGGGGAATTCCAGACAAGAAACAATCAGGGCCAATTAATCACCTCCCAACAAAGGATTCCCACGGGCAGTAAGAAGCCACACCTTGAAAACAGCTAGGCCATTAAATGCTAATCAAGGTGGCCAAGTGCTACATTCACACCTACCTCAAACAGACAAGAGTTCTTTCTCCCACCCCGGGCATTCCACAGATATATAAACCCAATTTTCCTAGTTTCCAACCGATCAGACAACCTCTGAGGGTGCCTGCCATAGATGTGGGCGAAAAGTCAGGAGAGAATGCTTCTGAAACATGGCCATACAGCCCAGAAAACAAACAACAACCCAGTGATTCCAGCCATGAAAGCATTCGACAATAGAAGTATGCAACTTTGAAGGGTTTCGAAAGCTCTTAATTTCCATCTGTGGTCTGATTCCTGAGCTTTCCCTCATATAACCCTTTGTCTTTTGTGTCCAACAAAGCTAAGTGTTCATTCTTTCCCAACATATTTCCTTTTTCTCCTTTTCTCAGTCTTTCTCTTTATCTTTTTCCTCCCTTCTTCTTTCCTGATCACAATGTCAAGTGTCTCTTTCCCTCTGAACTTTCTCCTTCTTATTAATTTCCTCCCCCTTCCCACCCCACAACTAATTTCCATAACTACCATGGGGCATATTCCATACCTTTTTTCTGATTCTTAGGCTAGCTACACTGTTTGACATCATGGCTTCATGCTATGGAATCCCAAGATTTATAGTATGGTGGCATAGAAAAGCTAAAGACCTTGTAAAACTACAACTCCCAGGATTCCACAGTGCTGTGCCACAACAGTTCCAGTGATCAATTCAAGTGATCTATGCTGTAGATGCACCATTTCTCTTTTGTCCTTCCTCAACCAGTGTCATTTTTTCCCATCTACCACTTTGACTAGAAGGGACATAAGTCTTCATACAATTTACTAAAACTACTGGTTTCTCTCTTTACACAGAAATATGATGTCTATTACAGTTTCTTGAAGTATTTTCGAGGAACCCAGACCAAGATCAATGAGCTTCTACGACAGATTCTAGTTGTCATTGCCGAGCATGTGAAGATGAACCAGGAGACACTGGATCTCAACAACCCACGGAACTATATTGATTGTTTCCTCATCCAGAAGGAGAAGGTACCTTAGTAGATACTGGAATGGGAGGTCTACAAGCTGAGGAGCAGAAAAATTGATGATTAAAACAAAGACTTTTATTCTCCTCTGAAATGTTGACCAGAATGTCTCGGGCTTAGGAGACTTATGGTCAAAAAAACCATATTAATTATTTATTTACAGTATTTATATTCCGCCCTTCTCACCCCACAGGGGACTAGGGCAGATTACAATGTACATATACATGGCAAACATTCAATGCCATAGACACACAACATATATAGGCAGACACACAGAGGCTATTTAACTTTCCAGCTTTCATGAGGATATTCTGGCCACCAGGGGAGTTCTCGCTTCACCATCAATTTGAGATACTCATGGAGTACTTCCTCATTCTTTGCTTGCTTGCTGGAGATTTTATGGCATCATAAATTAGTTAAATTAGCCTCCCCGCATAAGTGGTACCTAAATTTCCTACTTCACAGATGCAACTGTCTTTCAGGCTGCAAAGGTCAACAGCAAACTACACACAATGGTCGGAAGCTCACTCTGACCAGGGCTGGCTTTGAACTCATGACCTTTTGGTCAGTAGTGATCTTAATGCAGCTGCACCACAGTCTCAGTGCTGAGAATGTACATAGAAAATGTTAGTTTTGGGCTAGGCCAGAGGTGGGCAAAATGCAACACTAAACTACATTTTAAAAATCAGTGCAATTTTGGAGCAAGGTGGAAGCATCTCTGAAGCCCATACTACCCCTTAATAATATATCTGAGGTTTTAGCTCGTTCCTGTAATGTTGTCATGCTGTTCTGTTCATTTCCATTTTCAGGAAAAAGACAACCCAGACAGCGAATTTACCATCAGAAACTTGGAGCTCAGTGTCCTTATTCTTCTCTTTGCTGGGACAGAGACAGTCAGCAGCACCTTGAGATTTGCATTTCTGTATCTGATGAAATATCCTGAAGTGCAAGGTATGAAGAAATTAGGCTGAAGACACTAATCCCATTTCTTTACAGCTGGAACTCCTTCCCTTCCCTTCCTTCTTTCCACAAATTATATTTTGAGGTACAGTAC